GGGGCTCTGCTTAGGGCGGAAAAGGGGCGCGGGGAGGGGGCCGCGTGGCCGAGCCGCCGGGAGACCGGGATGCGCTGCGTCCCGCCGCGACTTCAGGTGAAGGGGCTGCTGGCCTTAAGCAGGGGCTCCCGCCTCTGGTGAACCGAGCCCGGCCACCAGCTACCTCCCTGCCGTCCCTACTCCCTCTTGCAAGCAGGTGGAGCTCGGGGACACTTTCCAGGAAGTCGCGTTGCAGCTCCTGCGGCTGGAGAGCATCTTTCGCTTCTCCCGGGCCACTTTCAGCCTGGCTCTCACTATCTTCTGCTGCCTCCTGGTGTCAGCAAAGGTAGGGAGCCTACTGAGGGAGGGCGAGGGGTGGTGGAGGGGAAACTGGCCTCTGCTCCCCGACTTAGGTGCTCAGAACTAAGGAACTTGCTGGGGGAAGTAGAGCTGGACTCAGAAGCTCTGGACATCCCACCCCTGCGCCCGTGGCTTAGTGTCCTGTGATGGTCAGGGGTGGACTTGGGGAGCTTGAGATGACCTCGTTGGGAAAGGACTTCCTGTGTGATAAGGCAGGGTGTGCTTGTCTGGACCTGTCCAGCTTGGCCTGAGCCAGGGTGGGACTATGTGTTCCCTGAGAAGGTGTCACAGGGACCCCTCCAGTCAGTCCCCTAAGGAAGGAAGGACTACTGACTAGTCATCGGTGGTTTTGATATCAGCAGCGGTTCCACTGGTCAAATCTAAAACTGGCACTAATTTATTTATGGAGGAATACAGTCGGTCTTTTTTTTTTTTTTTCTTTTAAAAAAGGAAACTTAATTTCTCAAAGAAAACACACACAAATGCTTTACAGCTTGTTTCCAGTACTCATCTTCTACTCAGTTGTTTGTTCCATACCGCAGATAAAGGAGAGGTTAGTCCACATGGTCACAATCACTTCCTTGAGACTTGCTGCAAAAGTCAAGGAGCAAGAGGAGGTATGCACCTCTGGAAGTGCACTCCGGGCTGCTTTGGGGGGCACACCCAAGTTTCCTGTGTACTTGGGGATGGTGGGCGTTTTGAAAAAGGTATTAACTTCCCACAACCTCTGCTGTCCCTTCCTTAGGCTTGTGAGACTCAGGGAGCCCACAGATGGAGAAGTAGAACAGCTGAATTCTCCTGGCCCAGCAAACCCAGAGGCCTGACCTCCTGGCAAATAGATCTTGTGTCATTGGTTGATACCAGATGCCACCTCCCACTAAGCAGAGGCATCTGCCGTTGAGTTAGAAAAAAGGCCTCCTACACCATGTGGCCTAATGCCCATCCCTGGAAACTCCATCTAAGAAAGGTGCTTGAGACTACAAGACTTGGCTGTGTCAATGAAACTGGTCCTCAGGGACTCTGGGACCCTTTCCGGAGAGGGGCAGGGGGTGGAGGAGAAACCTCCATAAGTGCTTCAGGCTTGCTTGAACTTCTAAGTTTCACTGTGGCGTCTGTTCAGAAGATCCTCTCCCAATACCCTCCCAGACCTCCCTCCCTCCCCTTTGGGGATAGTGGAACCACTGCCATTTCCACAGGGTCTCCCTTAACTAATCTCAGGGCCTGAGGGGGCAGAAAAAGTCACTTGTGTCCAGTTCCAACCCTTCAATAAAAATGCTTTTAACTCTTGTTTATTACCATATAATTTATGCCCCCAAAAGTTGCTTTCGTCCAACTGAAAATCAAGTAAATGACCTTTAAAAGAAGTATTTCTGGGAGTTATAGTAATACTTTATCTAAAAAAGTAGGACCAAGTCTTTAATACACTTGGTACTTGAATGTTTACTCAGAGACAAACAAGCCTTATTAGTCCCTCTGGGGGAAAAGTCATCATTTTTCCAAAACTGAACTGCATCAAATCAAGGCTAAAGGGAATGTGTAGACCAGGAAACAAAAGCCTACTTTTTCTCTCTACCACAAGTAATCATGGTAGGGCTGAGAAACAGGGAGGGGCAGAGCCCACAGGCCCTAGAAAACTTCGGGTGAATTCCTGCAGCTGAACAGGGAAAATGGCATAGCCCCTGTCTCCAAAGAACCTTTGGGTTTGAGCGGGAGTGCAGCTGGGAATCAAAAGCTGTTTGCAGAGGGTGACCATGTGACATTCACTACGCATTGTAACAACTACCTAGGGACTTGACAGTCTAGATCTGGGCTGGTTTTTCTTTCAGAAGTATTTTCTGTGGCAGGCCGCTTGAAGACAACTCTTTTATGCTCATGGATGTCCAGCCCCCATGGATAAGAAAACAAAAGCTCCCAGGACATGATACAGGGCTTTGGCCTCTTTATTTTCTTTTTACAGTTAATTCCACACATAAAGGACTTCGTAAAGCACTGTGGCTTTGGCTAAACCCCGAATGAGTTGCTGAGGATGGAGCTGGCTATTTTGGACAAACTGCACTGGGACCTCTATATTGGGACGCCGCTGGACTTCTTGACCATAGTAAGTACGAGGAGTTTGCAGAGTCTACCCTAGACTCATTTGTGCCTTTGGAACAGCTCACGACAAAGGACGGCCAAGCACAAGCGTGCACACGTCCTTGCACATGCACCACAGTAAGGTGACCCACAAGGCTCATGACATACGGAACACTGAAAATATATCTTAAATCCAACACAGTTCCACCAGACTCCCACTTCTAAAGGACATTAAAGTAACTTTACAAAGAGTTTTAGACGGCACTATTATGGTGAGTTTCTCTTAAATACACATTGCAAAAATATTTCACTTTCCATTCTATGAATACTGTACATAAAAAGTTGTCTGCTCTTGCTACACTTTACACACATTCACTTAGCTGTCTTGATTCACCTACACACAATCCTTATTGAGGCTTTAGACCATATTGATCTGGCACTTAAAAAATATATTAGTCGGTTTTTGTTTTAGTTAGGGAATGATGGTCATCCTTAAGGATATGATTCCGTTAGTAAGGCAAAATTATGCAATATGGAAATGTCATGGGGTTTTGGTCTGTTATGAAGCATGAAGATTATATCACTAAGAGCTGTTTCATTATAAAAACTGGCCACTGTTGCCAAGTTGCAGAGTTTCTTCTCATGTCAAGCAGATAAGAGTAACTTTTCTGCTGCCTTAATCTTGAAGAGCATGCTTCTATTTTTCAGAATTGAAACATTGTTATCTAGGTACTTTGGGCCTCTTATGGCCATGTTACAAAGCAGCTGCCTTTTCTCTCCAAGGTTGAAGCTCAGCTTGACCACAGAATGGGCATTTAAGCCTCAAGCCCCTGTGGGGCCATGGATGGAAATGAAAGGGGTTGGGCAACATCTGATGTTCCCTGATGGAAATTCAAATTGTTTGCACTTTTGGTCATTGATATATGAAAAGTATGGGGTTTTCTGTTCTAACATTAAAAACCACAATCTCCAGTTCCACACCCTGGTGTTCATAGGCTGGCCCCACGTGGTGGAGCTGCTGCCTCAGAGGAATCCTTCCCTCCACGTCGCGTCCCTGACCAAGCAGCCGCAGCACTGTATGGCGGGCCACCAACTGCTGCAGTTCAAGGGCTCCACACTGGCCTTGGTCATCATCACCTTAGAGTTGGAGAGGCTCATGCCCGACTGGTGTGCTCCTATATCTGATCTGCTAAAGAAAGCACAGGTAGACATCAACTTTGCCCCAGACCAAGCTCTCAGTTTTGTTCCTTGACCTGCCACACTCTGTCCCCAAAAGGGTACCCATGGCCCTTCCTGGCCCTTGTGGACTCCAGAAGATGCTCTGGCCATGGTGACTCTGTAAAGAGTCTGCCAAAGGGCTAGGCTTTCCACACTTGGCATGCCCTCTGGACTTGAGTATGGGACACATGTTCCTTTTACTGGGCCAGTTGGGTGGGTTTCTCTGACAGTGAGAGAAGCTTTATCTCAGTGGCAGCCCTTATAGCCAAGAGGATGGAGGGATGTGTCCAGTTTAGGAGGAGGCAGCCCAGAGCTTAATACCGAGGAGTATAAATTTCAAACTTCTCACTCTCTATCTGAATTGATGACACCAGGCACTGGGGAGTTAGAATCTCTCAGGATGGACAGGGTAGGATAGAATGCATAGTTAGACTCATGACAGTTTTACTGAGATTGGAGATGGATGTCCCCGAGGTGGTGAGGTTAATGTGCTTAAGTTTTGCGATTGGACCCCTTCCTGAAATTGCTCCGTGCTAACTAACATGTTGACACTCAGCTGCTCATTTCTTAGAATGTAAAATGGTTCTACACCAAGGGTGAGCACTCTGTCCTAATTACAGGTCAGCATTGAGCAGTTGGTCCCCTGCAGGATACTGGTCAGGCAGCAGCTGAGAAGTGTTCAGTCCTCCTGCACACACAACTTTCTCTTTCACCTGCCAGCCTGTGCCCCTACCCCAGTGCCCTTCAGAGCATAATGGCAACCTCTCCTTGCTTGGCCTCTTCTAAATTCTAGGCTTTGTGGATCTTGTAACAAGAAAGGAAGAAAGCCCTAGAAGAACAACTGAGAAAAAATGCCTGGGTCCTTAGAAGAAAATAACGGAAAGGAAGGTTAGGGTCACTAGAGGTAAGAGAAGATCATGACCCTGCTCCCTTCTTTCCCCTGGGCCTTTTCCCAGGGAGAGTGAATGAACGCTTACACTGCAGCTTGGTTTTCCGTCTCCAGCAAGGACTCTGTCAGCCCCCGAGGGAGCTGGAGTATGAGGCCAGAGGAGGGCCTGGCTCAGGGCCGAAGGGCCAGGCTGGTTTTGACTGACCAGGTCTTACTGCTCTACCCACCCCAGCTGGCCAGGTCCTTCCAGCTTCCCAGGCGTATGTCAAGCACACGTGCAGCACTCCAGGCCCCAGCCAACCTGCCTGCCACTGCAAAAATAGGACAGACCCTCCAGCTACAATTACCCTGATTTGGCCATGACTTAGGTCTTCTCTTTACAAGGACTGGATTATAAAGTATGCTTTGTTTCATGTACGGTAATTTGATCAAGCTTTAAGAATATTTTTCCTTTGTTACTCTTAAGCAAAGTAGTTGATTGGAATAACTAGAGAAATTTTTATGCTAAAGGATATTACAAGGTGTGACCCCTGGGATGGGGGGGTGCAGCTCTGAGAGCTTTTGTTGATGAGCAGGTTCTGAGGCCGGGCCTGTTCCAACCACCGTGCTGCCGGAAGTAGGAGGCGGTGGCGATTGGCATGGGTGTGAGGGAGAAGCCAGCTGCCTCTCTAAAGCTATGACACTATAGAGCCATTTTTTTAAGCAGTGGAGTCCAGCTGGCAGAGATGCCAGCTGGAGCTGTGTAAATAGTGCTGGGAAGTGAATGACTGAGCCACACATTTAGAGGTGATTTGTGAAGTCTTTCCAATGTGAACAGTTTTTGTAAACGTGCCAAGCCATGGGGAGTGGGATCTGCTCCTGGGTGCAAAGTGGTCAAGGCCCAGATATACTGTAATAGTGTCTGCACTGTCGTCATTACCAACCCCAGCCTTTTCTTGAAACAAATTTGCTTGTTGGAGCTTTTGTAAAAATAAACTTTAAGTCCCTGCAGCCCTGTCTCATTCATATTTTACATATATTGTGTACCATGCATTTAGACTTGCTTGAGTCAGATACAGTTGGAATACCATCCCCTGGGCTCTATCAAAACTGTCCTCTTGTCCAGCACAGATGGAGATGCTGACGGCAGCGTGTAGCTCATGCCCACAGCTCTCACCAGTGGCTAGGACTGTCCTCTAACTCCTTCCCTCCACTGTCAGTGGGCACCGTCATGGGTGGGGTGGGGGCTCATCCTGAGGGCCCACACCAGCTCAGCTGTCTCTGACTTTGGGGATCTGGTGGGAGGTATCTGGGACTCTTAGCTAGGTAGCTCTGGTTGTAAGCTGGGTCCCCAGAGCTAATCCAACTCTGAATTTCAAAGGAGAAGGTAGGTCTGTGAGGCCCAGTATTAGAGTAAGGGACAACCCTGTGGCTCCATATTTCTGTAAATAAAATTCCTCTTCTTTGGGGAAGCAAAATTCTGCATTGCCAAAGTACCACTTGTGAGTTTAAAAAAAAAAAGTTTTGATGCTGTTCAAGCTTGTGCTGGGGTCCCATCCTACTCTCCTCTAGCCTGCCTTCCTTCCTTCCTTCCTTCCTTCCTTCCTTCCTTCCTTCCTTCCTTCCTTTGAGATAAGAACTCATATCCTGCCTCAGGTCAGAGACTGGGGATCACTGTGGTGGGAAAAACATGAACACAATCCGTCTTCATTTTGTCCCCAGCACAGGACAGGGATTGGTTTAGGACTGTGGCTGCAGAAAATGAAGACGGGAGACGGCTCAGATGGGCAGAGGGAAGTGCACGGTAGGTGAGCAATATGCACCTTTCTTAAACTTGTCCAAATATTACTTCCCTTTCATGGGTGAGCCGAGTTGTATGGTGATGTTCCCTCCACCAAGGCCCTTCTCCCCCGGCTCCTAGGAGAACCTCTGTCCTCCAAATCTTGGTGAAGACTTTCCTCCCTGCCGCCTGCCTCCCCATGGGTAGAGCTGAGCGGTACCTTCACTGGGGATGTCTGCATACCGGTCTCCCTGCTGGGCTGTCGGCTCCCCTGACTTGAGTCCCAATCTCCTCATTTTGGTCTTCCCAGAGATTAGACCAGTGCCCAACAGAGAAAGCTCCTCAACAAATGGACCCATGAGCTTGTCGTCACTTCCTTCAACTACAAGTTTACCTTCCTCAACCAAATATTTGCCTACCTACCAGGGCATCCCACCTCAGCCAAACCCTCTCAGGTCTGCCAACCCAGACTGTCAGCTGAACACTTTCATCCTGGCTGCATTTCCACTGTTCACGCAGCATTCACAAGGTTGCCAAAGAGCAGTGATAGCTCAGGAATTAACGGTACAGGTTGCCAATATTCAAATCCCGATGCCTCCAGTTACTAGCTGTGTGACCTTGGTTAATTAACCTCTCTGTGCCTTAGCTATGAACTGGGGTAAATGGTACTTAATCATAACGTTATTATGAAGATGAGAGGGATTAATGCATGTGATGTACTTTAGAGCAACGCCTGGCACACAGTAAGAACTCAGGTGTTAGTTGTCCCATGTCAAGCCTCTTCCACAAGGATGTGAGCTTTCCCAGGGCAGGGTTTGCCTTCTTCGTGCCTTGCATAATTCCTAGAATTCCTATAGAAGCTTATCCACCCCACAGAGTTCACAGAAACACAAGCCGTATTTTACCACAGTTGTAGCAGATTAATAGGCTAGGAAACTTGTTAAATCAGAAAAGCTGCTGCCCAAAAAAGACACCACAAAAAAACTCAAAATAAATGCAAAATTTAATGGGGAGAAAAAAAAAACAAGTACAAAGTGATTGGAAAGGAACAAAAACAGTCAATGAATGCAGGGGTAAATGAATTAACAAGGGAAGCCGTTTTAGAAAAGCATGTTGACGTAACAGACTAGCAAGCCGCACTCCCTCAGGCCTTACCCAGTAACACGAGCCCCAGATCACAGGGAACCCCCACACAGACACAAAAGCATGCATGCAGTCGGTCCGCACCATTACAAACCACCTAGGCTCCAGTGCCCCGTGACTGGGGTGCCCCTACCTTCCGGTTTGCCTGAGACAGTTCTGGCTTTATGCCTGTTGAGCTGGAACAATTAACAGCATCTCCTTTCACTCTCAAACGCCTCAGTTTGGACAAGAAATTATCAGTGATTCTACCCCAAACCAACTTGATTCATGAAAGACATGATAGCAAATGCCAGCATGGTCCCACTGACAGCCCAAATAATGCCCACCAATGATACTGAGAACGAAAGAGAGGGGTAAGTCAGACTGTGCAGGCGGGGGCCACATTCCACCAGGGGTTGCTTGTTAAATAAGGGCAAAGTTTTAAGCTCACCCTGTGCACCAAGGATTAATTTGGTCTCAGCTAAAGACGACAAAATTCCAGACACAAACAGCACAGGGAAAGAAGTGCACAGTGAGGTTCGCTAAAGCTAATGAAACCTGTGGAGGCAGCTCAGACCTCAGAAAAGACAATGACAGGTCCCCTGCAGGCAGGTAACCAGCCATAATTCTGGCCTTCCTGCACGCCCTGGGAATGGCCCGCAGACTATGGTGGGTAGATGGCAGAATCTGCCCACCTGACTCCCCAAATTGGCTCATGAACCAGGAGACCTCATTTCTTATACAACCAGTGAACCTACTGGGTCATCGAGCCTCATCCTCAGAAATATATTAGCCAACAGATGCTGTCTTCAGGTCATGCTTCTGCCCAAGTTTATAAACTTTCAGACATATAACTACCCTAAAGACAAGCCACATCTGCCTTAGATATGCTGATTTATCTGTTTGGATACCCACACAGTTATCAGTCCCAACCAGAGGTGGATGCACTGGGAGGCTAATGAAGCTGAGTCCTCAAGGCCCCTCCCAGGGCCCCGTACCTAATTGTGTAGTCACATTCTTTTTTTTGAAAGCGGCTTCTCCAATAGTTCAAGTTTCTACCCCTTCAAAATATGGGTCCACCCGCAGTCATGGCAGAACACTGGGAGAATTTTCACTTTGAGCATCAATAAAATCTGCTTTGCTCCTGGCAAGAGGAGCCCCTCACTGCAAAGGCTGTCTTTCCCTGGCCATGCCTCAGTGGACACACGAGGCTCACCTCTCCACCCCACTCTGAATGGAGCACCATCTCAGAGGGCAGGAGGAAGCCAGGACCTGGTCCTGCAAATCTACAAAGCAGGCAATGGAAGGGCAGGAGGATGACATGAAAAACAAACTGTCAACCTCAGGTCGAGCAGTGCAGCTTCCAGCCAGGGAGCGCAGAGAATGTGAGGCCCTCGAGGGGTGGGCTGCGAGTTACTCAGGGAGCCTGTGCCCAGCACAGTGCTTCATCAACAATGAATGAAATCCTTCCCTTCATCTATTCATTTCTTGTCTCCCATTTTATCAGGTCGTATTTTCAACCCTGCTCCTCTCGGTGGCTTGCCAACCAACAGGAACACAGAAGAATCAATGATGCTAGTACTTTCTTAAAACAGCCCCCTTAAGAATGCATCTGAAGGGGGAAAGCTCCTTGCTGGGAACTTTTTCTTAAATTGTCCACAGCCACCAGACACCTTCATCTTTTGCCCTGTGACTCAGCCAGGAAAAAAGGAAACAAGGACCTTGACATAAAAACCTCTTCCTGGCTGAGCACTCTGTGCATTTGGAGTCCGCAGGACTGGTTTGAGGGTCTTAGTTGGAGTCAAACACTTAACACACACATGGAGTTGGTCCCTGTTTATAGGTAGCACCTCAGGGGCATACAGACAAGGGCTTGGGGCTGCTGTTCCATTTACATTCACAGTGAAAACACTGGACGTGGTCGTATTCATGTTCCACTTTCGTCCGTAAAGAAATTCCAAACACTGTCATTACAGGATGTTTATTACCCACCTCTCCCTATGTATTATAGGGATATTTTTACATAAAAAAGGCTTAGAGATACTTTTAGTTTTTAAAAATCAGGGAATCTGTGTTACTTATGAAAATAACGGGAGAGGATATTATTCATCTTTACGCTCATGACAAAATAAAAATTTAGTTTACGCTTGTGGCAAAATAAAAATTTAGAAGTGTTTTAAAAGTTATTATTGAAATTAAGCTCTGGGTTAGAAAAATTAAAACGAAGGGGAATCGGGCAAGTTTTGCAGCATGTCTACCGTGCCACACACGGCCACACCTAAGGCAGGGCATGAGTTGCCATCTGGTCGCTGAACAATTAGGCCGAGCATCGAGGGCGGGGCCTTCGCTAGAGCGGCACATAACTGCTCCGTCAAGGAATAGTGACACTGTAAATGGAAGACCAGCCACTGGCTCTGAAAAAAATAAACCTCGTCAGTTTTGGATTCCAGCATTCATGGCTTTGTTGTGTTTGCATAGAGACGGGTGGCCCGCCAGGCCCAGGGCGGCCTGAGGGCGGGGGCGGGGACAGAGCAAGGCTGTAAACACTGGAGTCTGTACCGGCTCCCAGTCCGTCCTCACACCATGTTATGGGAGAAGGG